ACCATTCCTGTCGAAGAAAGACTAGGAGCAGAGTTCATTATATTGTGAGTGTATTTGAGCAAAACAGCGAGCATCCAATTCTCTCTCAAAACAAGGTAGAGGTACTAGGAGACTACACATAGGAGTGATCGTGGCTCCAAGGTGGTAAACTAGGTAAATTAGCATCTCAAGACTGAGAGTCTCCCCAACTGGACATCGAGATCCACTGCGAGGTTATGTGGTGTAGGAAATGAGACTGGCCACGTGAGTGGGTTACCCCGTACCTGGGAAGTGGTGAATTCATAGGGAACCTTGTCACACTGCTGTGTGACATGCTTACGATTCTCGGGAGGGCGTGGGCGGAGAGGAACCGCTCACTCTGCTCAGTCCACCCATGGGACCCCTGGAGTGTGTGACAGCTGCCTTAGTGGTGAGCGTTGAGGACGGGGTGCCAAGAAAGTTGTTCAAACTGGGGCTGGGAAGGTGGCTCAGGGGTAGAGCGCTGGCCTTTAGCTGAAGAGCTGAGGGACAGCGCCCAGGCCCAGAGTTCAGGCCCCACGACTGGACACCCCCCCCCCAAAAAAAAGAAAGAAAGTTGTTCAAACTCAGATGAAATAGGACAGACCCCAGGCTCTACACCCCAGGAGGGGCGAGGAGGACTCCTACCTAGCAGCAGCCTGGGTGCCCGGCCCTACTGCAGAGCCTCAGGTGATCAGGTGATCAGGTAAGGGCGTGCCCGACAAAGTCCTTGCCCTGATGGTAGGCCGAGGATTTGCTTCTGCTTCTCAGGGAGGGGACCAGTGCCGCCCAGCGTGCTGAGCCCACGGTTGGTGGGTTGGATGGTGGGCTGCCTATCCCTTTCTTGAGCTGCTTGACTGCCCTCCTTCAAGCTTTGTGGTACAAGTCAGAAAACCAAACACTTCGTTGTTGTTCTTTGGCTGTGGGGCTCCATCAGGAGGAATTTTGCCTTTATAGACTTGAACAAAAATCTCCACGACTCCCAGGGTCTCTGGCATGTAACACATACAATTTGTGGGTTGAACTGATATTTTGGGCTCCTATGTTTGCAAGAAACAGTATCTCTTAATAATCCTACTGTTTTTAACTTTTATTATGGAAAATTTTGAGCACATATAAGAGTTGAAACAAAGAGCTGTATAATGGATCCCCATAAACTGCCCCCCCCCTGTATTGGGCATGAAAAATTACCATAATTTTCCAATCACATTTCATCCGTCTTTCCCCTTTTTCTTTTTTTAAGCTGGACCGTTTCTGGAGAAATCCGAGCTATTATTTCATTTTGTCCTAAATAAGATACTTCAATGTGCCCTTATGACCATTTTTCCTAACCATCCATCATTGCAACAAACACAATTAATAAATACTCCCTTATTTAATATCTGGAGTAGAACTACATTCCAAGTGTCTTGTGTGCTCTCAAAAATAATCTGAACCAGGAAACAAAGCTTACATCATGATTTTAGCTCTTATATCACTCTTGCTGCATGGCTTCCATGCTGGTAAGTTGTTGTGGAAATTAGATGTTGATCCGCAGAGGATTCTACATGGTTTGCTGTTCTCTGACCTATTCCCAGGTCTGCTGTATCTCCTAGTGAGGTTAACACTCCATCCAGAAACTTCCTTAAGTCCAGCTTGGTTTTCTTTCTCTTTTCTTCCTCCCTCCTCTTCTCTCCTCCCCATTCTTCTCTTCATCCTCCCCCCACCTGCACCCTCCCTCCTTTCTTTTTCTTTCTTTATTCTTAGTATCTTTGCTGTATAGTCCAGGCTTATATTGAGCTTATGATCTTCCTACCCCAGCCTCCTGAATATTGGATTACGGGTGTGAGCTACCACAAGTCAGCTTCTGTTTTCCTAGGCAAAAATGCATCATCAGAGGTGTGTTGTATTTTCCCTCCTGTTCTTTCTTGGTGTTGTTCAGACTAGTATGCAGTTTCCTCTGTGACGGGCCTCCTGAATCCACCTCCTGAATCCACCCTGCACCATGCATCTACGCAGATTCCTGCAGTGATTGTTTTTGTTTCCCCCCACCCTCGCCAGTAGATTTAGCATCTGTTGATTGTAACCTGGATCTGTCATTTCAGTAGGTCTAAAAAAAAATTTAAAAACTGAAGTGATTTCCTAACTCTATCATCCCTTCGACTTTTTATCCTTTTGTCTATAAAGGAAAAAAATTCTCACCCACTCATGTACCCTAAAATAAAGTTTATACAGAAATAAAAGAATGTAGAATGAATGTTTTTATTTCAGTAATAAGGGTTGGTGAACATGAGGATTTGGTTTGCTTGCTTTAGGATAACGAGGAGCTATATGTTGATGTGCTGTGATGTTTACTGTCACTGTTATTGCATTTCGGTGCTTGTATGAGCAGTGCAGTGCGTCTTGATCAGTGTCGCCCTCCATAGTCCTCCACATCTTTTCTCATCCCATCTCTACCTCGTTACACAGTTTGGTTTTTACACATGTACCGTAAACAGAATGACACCCTTCCCTGTTCCTTTCGTGTTTTGATCACTGAAATTGTCCCATTTTGGACCTGTGGGGTACCCTCACCCCTGATGCGGTGGGATGTCCCTGTCTGGCCCAGGGTTGAGGCTATCCGAGGAGCCCGGGCGCTGTAGGGTGGTGGGGACGCTGTGCTCATTGCTAACGTGGCCATTGTTCAGAGGTTTGGCCCCATGTCGAATCATATGAAGTCACAGCTACTGTTACTGTGAAATGAGCCAAAATCAAGTGGTCATTTGAAAGTCTCAGTTTGTATGTCTGGTGCTGAAAGGTACTGACCACCTAGACTTGGTCAGCGGGTGAGCCGGCCTGCTGGACTCCAGTGAGTGCCTCCACCTCCACTGCTCATCTGTGGAAGGAGTGGCGGTGTGGCGGAAGCTTGTACCTCCTCACCGTGGGCCGCAGCCTGTCGCCGCGGGAGGCGGTTTGGGGGGAAAGGGGGATATGTCCTCGTTGTACAACAGCACTGACACAGACTTGGAAAACTGGGCCAGTGAGTTGGACCTTGCCCTGGAATTCAAGATGTGCTTTGAGTTGTCAGGAAGTCCTCCTAGCAAGCCAAGCTCAATTTCCAGCAAACACTGTATGCAGAGAACTAGTTACTCCAGTTAATTCTCTCATGGGTTAGATCCTGTGAAAATAAAGTTCACTTACTGTTAGGCCACATAAATTGAGTTTATAGTGCAATTTAATAATTATTGCAAAAAGCTTTTAACTGTGAGATGTAGATCTATATAGATCAGCCTTGTTTTAAAACATTTCCAAACAGCAGATTTTGGAAGGCAGAAAGAGGAGGAAAAGTTGTTTGAATGAATGAACGAATGCACAGGATTTTCCTCACCTCAGTTAACAAGGATTTATAAGAAGCCGCCACTGGCCATCCAGGACTCAGATCACAGAAGTGCTTCTAAGGGAGTCTCTGTTCAGATACTGAGGAAGGGGGGGGCTCCCAGCAGTTCTGGAGATTCCCTCAACAGCTGGTGACATCTGCATTTCCCTGAGCTGGTGACATCTGCAGAGTCCTGTCTCCCCCACACACAACCCTCGAGAGAGAGGCAGACTGTGGTGGTCCTAGTGGTGGACCTGGTCAGCAGTGGTCCGGGGCAGCCTGGCACTTGCCCACACCCATAGCGTGCCCTGGGGCTGAGCTAGAGCTGTTGGAAAGGTGCGGAACACCAGCCCTGAGCGCAAAGCCAGAGGAGACTTGGCTTCGCTCTGGGTGCAGGGCCTCGGGGCTGAGTGGGATCTGAGTCACCTCCAAGCCCAAGCAGATCTGCCCCTCTGCATGTTCACTGTACCCCAGGTTTGCCTGCAGTCCCTTGCTTGGCTTCTTTTGCGAGTTGTCATACTTCTTTCTTCCCTAGCATAGAAACTTGCAAATGCAGGTTATAGATGTAATGTAAACACGCGTTCCATCACTATTTCATTCATGTACTTGAAATGCTTAAGAAATTGCACAGGAAATTTATTTTAGAAGGAATTGTCCATGTTCGTCTCACCTCATGTTTCACCATCACGGCTGCCTTGGCCTGCATCCTCTCCGCACTCCGCCCCCTCCCCAGCCCCATTCTTCACATGGACTTCCACCATTCCAGGGGTCAGCCCTGCTAGAACATTCCATGGACAGTGACACACCTGGGAAAACAGCCTCTCACCTCAGAGAGATGCCTTCCAGCTTCCCCTGTAACTCCTGGCTTCTCCGAGCTCTGCCCCCCCCCACCCCCCACCACCCCTGTGGAGCTGACCCCAGCTCCATCCTGCTCTGGAGCTGACCCCAGCTCCGACCCCCCCCCCCCCCCCCGTGGAGCTGACCCCAGCTCCATCCCTCCCCCCCCCCCCCCGTGGAGCTGACCCCACCTCCGTCCCGCCCCGTGGTGCTGACCCCAGCTCAGTCCCACATCCCTCCCCCCCCCAGCTGACCCCAGCTCCGTTCCCCCCCCCCCCCGCGTGGAGCTGACCCCAGCTCCGTCCTGCCCTGTGGAGCTGACCCCGGCTCCCGTGGCCCACGGGCCCCTCAGGCCAGGGCTGCCCAGGGGTCGCAGGGCTGAGCAGGCGCTTCCTGCCCTAGGGGACAAGATTGGCATCTGGAATGGCATGGGGCCTGTCCCCTGCAGCTGGTCCTAGCAGGGAGAGGACGAGGGAGAGAGGGAGGGAGGGAGGGGAGGTGGAGAGGAGGAAGAGGAGGACGAGGAGGACGAGGAGGGGGGGGGTCGCCTGTCCCAGGTGTGGAGGGGGAGGAGATGGTAAAGGGAGAGGGGAGGAGGAAAGAAGGGAGGAGAGGGGGAGGGAGGGGTAGGAGGAGGGCAGAGGGAGGAGGGGGAGCGGGGTCAGGGCCCCGCCCAGCCCGGCCGCTCAGCTCCGCCCCCTCCCCGTCCTAGCCGCGGTTTCCAGGCAACGGTGTGGACGCGGGTGGACGTGGCAGACGCGGGTGGACACAGGGCGGACGCGGGCAGACGCGGGCGGACGTGGGGACTCAGCCTGCGCGGCCCAGACACGCCATGACCTCAGCGGCGGGCAGCCAGGGCCCCGGGGCGGCCGGGGCGGCCAGGATGTCCTGGATGGCCGAGATGGCCGAGATGGCCGAGGAGGACGAGGAGGAGATCACGGCCGCCACACTGCGCGGCAAACCCCGGCAGGTGCCCACGTCGGCGCAGGCCACCACGGGCTACGTCCCCCCGCGGAGACTGGGCCCCAAGGAGCACAGCTACTACAACCGGCGGGCCGAGGTGGGCGTGGCGGGGCGCGGCGGGGGCGCGGCGGGGGCGGGGCGAGGACGGGTAGTGGGCGGGGCGGGGCGAGGACGGGTAGTGGGCCGGGCGGGGCGGGGCGAGGACGGGTAGTGGGCGGGGCGGGGCGGGTCGAGGACGGGCAGTGGGCGGGGCGGGGCGGGGCGGGGCGAGGACGGGTAGTGGGCGGGCGGGGCGGGGCGAGGACGGGTAGTGGGCCGGGCGGGGCGGGTCGAGGACGGGTAGTGGGCGGGGCGGGGCGGGTCGAGGACGGGCAGTGGGCGGGGCGGGGCGGGGCGGGGCGAGGACGGGTAGTGGGCGGGCGGGGCGGGGCGAGGACGGGTAGTGGGCCGGGCGGGGCGGGGCGAGGACGGGCAGTGGTTGGGGAGGGGCGAGGACGGGTAGTGGGCCGGGCGGGGCGGGGCGAGGACGGGCAGTGGTTGGGGAGGGGCGAGGACGGGTAGTGGGCCGGGTGGGGCGGGGCGAGGACGGGTAATGGGCGGGGGAGGTCCTCCCCCCCCCCCCGAGGTGGACGGAGGCGGGGCGAGGACGGGTAGTGGGCGTGGCGGGCTGGGGTGGGCGTGGCGGGGGCGCGGGAGGGCGTGGCGAGGACGGGTAGTGGGCCGGCGGGGCGGGGCGAGGACGGGCAGTGGTTGGGGAGGGGCGGGGCGAGGACGGGCAGTGGGCGGGGCGGGGCGAGGACGGGCAGTGGACCGGCGGGCCGGGGTGGGCGCGGCGGGGGCGTGGGCGGGGCGGGGCGGGGTGGGCGCGGCGGGGGCGTGGCAGGGGCGTGGGGAGGACGGGTAATGGGCGGGGGAAGTTCCCCCCCCCCCCCCCCGAGGTGGACGGAGGCGGGGCGAGGACGGGTAGTGGGCGGGGCGGGGCGAGGACGGGTAGTGGGCGTGGCGGGCTGGGGTGGGCGTGGCGGGGCGCGGGGGGCGGGGCGAGGACGAGCAGTGGGCCGGCGGGGGCGTGGGCAGGGCGGGGCGGGGCGGGGCCTCCTGCCGTGGCCGGGCGGGGTTCACCGTAGGGAAGGGCGGCAGAGGGAGCCTTGTTCCTGCTGGCAGGCACTTGTAGGCTTGATGTTTTGGTGTGGGGTGGGAGTTAAGGCTGCGGTCCCCGATTCCTATCCACCAGACACCTCCCTTCCCTTCTTTTGAGTTGTATGTTTGAAAAGAACTGTTAAAAAGAGAAAAAAAAAATCACGTATTAACTACGCTGTGCATTCCAAGTAGTTCCGCTAGTTCACGACTAACAGGGCATTAATGCACAGCGTGGGATAAACACGATCCCCCAAAGTAAGGAGACGATGTTCTAAAGCCTATGCTGTTTTACTGAGAATTATAAAAATCTATCTGCCTTTTTGATGTAATAAAAACTCAGAACTTACCATTCTGAAGAGCATGTGTAAAACTCAGAACATACCATTCTGAAGGATTCTGTTAAATATCACCTTGATGCCATGAAGAGCTATGATGTTTTTTAAAAGCTGCAGTAAGGACTCTGGGCACATAGGCTTCCAAGTATTGATGCTCAGAATCAGACAGAATTGGAGGATTTGCCCACCTGGACTCAGCACCTGGCATCCCAGAAAAAGCAGAGCAGAATCCCACAGTCCTGTGGACCAGGCACAGTCAAGCACAAATGAGCAGCGCTGTGCCAGCTAGGCCCAGTTAACTCTTAACTCTAGTTGGCTGATAAATGGCTTCAATTTCCTGAGACCAAAACCACCCATGGACAGAGAGACAAGGTATCTGTGAAGTGACTAGGGACCTGTCACTTGGAAGGAGATCAGGACAGGAAAGCCCCTTGGCCAAATGGGACCCACTGCCTGTTTCAATAAAGTTTTATTAGAACACAGCCACATAGCCATTCATTTGGTATTGTCTACCACCTGGAGTTGAGTATCTTTGAGTATCCCTGCAATCTGCTATACCCAAATTAATTACAGCGTGGAGTGGGCCTTTACGCAGAAGTTCCCTGCCTGCTCTAAGGCATCCCTGCCTGCCTTGGGGAGGAAGGACCAATCAATGCAAAGTGGATTTCTGGAAGTTTCAGCACACTTATAACTGGAGCGAGCAACAAAGAAATTCAAGACTTGGAACCTTTAATATTGCATAAAAAAAAAAGTGGTGTAAAAAATACTAACAGGTGAAGAATCTTGAGAGCAGTAAGAATAGCAAATGACATTTCCAAGCCCTTTTGAGCAGCTGGGAACCAACGGGGATGATACCCTCCCGAAGATTTTACACATTGGTGGTTAACATCTAAAAGATTCAAGAAGTTTCTGATTAGGGATCATTTAGAATAAAAAGGGTAAACTGAGTCACAGGGTCACTGAAGACTCAATCTACAGCCACATGGATTATTTCAGGCTGTACTGGAGCTCAGCAACATTGCAGAGTTAGCTCTCTGTCAATGCTTGGTCTGACCACAAATGTAGACATTTCTCATTCTCCAAGTCACGGGATGGCATAGGGCCCAGGGCCTCTGGGAGGTACTCTATAGAGGATTCCTAAGGAGGAATGGGAGTTACAAAGAAAAAGGGCAGAGGGATCTCTTGCCCTTCCCATATATGGAGACACAAGTCACCGTCCGTCAACCAGAAAATCAGTCCCTCACCCAACACTGAATCTGCCATGCCTTGAGGCTGGAATTTCCATCGCCAAACTGTGAGGAAATCCCATTCTGTATAAGCCACCCAGTCTGTGGCATGTTACAGTTATAGCAGCCAGAAGACCTGATGAATATGCAAACACTCCCAGTGGTCCATGGAGCTCATCAGCTTCTTGATGCTGCCACAAAATACCTGAGATAATCCAACTGAAAGGAGAAAATGGTGGTTTGGACTCAGGGTTCTCTCAGAGCTTTGGGTCCTTGCTCCTGTGGCTTTGGGATTCATGATCATTTGTTCCTGGTGCTTTGGGCCTGTGGGGAGGCAGCAGATGGCAGCAGAAGGGTGTGGTCTTGGAGGTGAGCCCTCAGCCTCCCTGTCTGTCAGCTGTGCAGATTGGTCTGGGTCACAGGCGTCCACGTAGAAGACATGCAGGCTTAATCGAATAAAGAGCTGTGAAGTGACCTGTAGGATGCCTGACGTGAACACAGCTTGGGTTATTATGCCCCGAGAGAGATTACTAGAGCTGGTGCTCACTGGATGTTGAGTCCTGGCAGCTGTGTCCAGCATCCCTGAGCCCCACCCCCTTGCTGGAGATGGACAGAAGTGAGCGTAGCAGTCTGAGCCTCCCTCTGGTGGCTTTCAGTCCTCTAATGCAGCTGGACCCCGAGAATCCCAGAATTCCCACTCAAGCCTGTTCCTGTGTTTACAGCCCATGAAGATGGGTTTGTCTCCTCAAGCCACTAGCTACACTAGCTTGGGGCGGGGCGGGGGGCCTCCCTAGGGGCTCCAGCAGTGAATTCCCCCAGGAAACAGGGTGCCAGCGGCAGCAAAGCAGATTCAGTGCAGCGGTGCCTTAAAATTACTTTTCTGCTGCTGCTTCTGCCCTGTGCAGTGTTTCTGCCAGGGAAATGAAAAAGCCGAGTCAGAAGCAAGCCCTTTGTGGAGGTTTTGATTAAATCTCTCAAAGTTACACTAAAGAAAAAAAACAAACCCTAGATGGTGTTGCACTATGCTGGTGGGCCAGGGAATCTGCATTCCCAGGGAGGCTTGGGTCTGCAGGCCTCACCTCAGCTTTGGGGGAGACGAGCCAATGCCCCTCGCATGCAGGTGAGGAAGCCCAAGGTCTCCACCTCCCTCCACACAGGGCAGGGCAGGAAGACGCTGTAGAGAATCACACCTACCGCCCAGAGCTGGAAAGAGCAGACTCCCAGGAGCCAGCTCCCTGTGCTCCAGGGGGGGCCACGCTCCAGGTGTGGAGAAGGGAACCAGGGCTCTGACGTCAGCCTCCCGGTTAAGATGGAGGAGGGCTCTCCCCCTGCCATCCACGAGCGTCTGTGAACTGTGACGTGGGGTTCCCTCCCCACAACACGCTCCCTGTGGCTTCTCTCTTGATGCCTTACCAGCCGCACAGGAGGGCAGAGATTTATTTCTGCCACTGCTATCTTCTCTGCAATCAAAGCAGAGCCCGGCTCTGATGCTCCACAAACTCTCACCGCACGAGTGAACGGGAAGGGATGTGCGCAAAGTGACGTGTGGAAAACACAAGCATAACCTAGAAGATGAAGTGGCCGCTTCAGGTTGGAGCATGTGCGGCTTGGGCCCCAAGCCGGGCCCCCACCTCAGGGCTGGTGGCTGGTGTGGGCCACCTGATGCTTCTCTGTGTGTGTGCCGGATGGGTTTTTATTGGCCAGGGGCTCATCCCCAGGAAATGCAAGGCCAGGAGGAGCAGTGGGGCTGTCTTCCTCCAGCACAGGTGGAGAGGTTGAATTCAAGGCCCAAGTTCTCCTTCAAAGCCGGCAAGGGAGGGAGGGAGGGAAGGAGGCACGGAGGGAGTGAGGGAGGAAGGGGGCGGGAGGAGGGAGGGAAGGAGGGAGGGAGGAGGGAGGAGGCCGCACGCCAATCCACAGGGATTAAGTGCCACTGTCAATTACCACACCACATGAGCCATGTCATCACCCTGTGTACCTGTGTGAGCTGTGTGTCCTATACTTCATGTGCACATGTGCCTACGTGCACACGCACATTGGTAGCTGACATTTGTATTCTCTCCCAGGAAGGGTTGATATAAATCATCTTTCATGACTGTGACAGAATACCCGATGCAGGCCATTTATGATGGCTCAGAGTTTTGGAGGCTGGAAGTGGAAAGAGCAGAACACCAGCCCGGTGGTGAGGGTCGCCCTTAGCTACCCTGCTTCGTGCCCTGGACAGCAGTGGCAGGGGGACATGTCGGGGCAAGAAGCCTCAGGATTGGAGTCTCACAATCCCTTCCCTGGCACGCTGCAATGGCCCGAGGCCTTCCCACCAGGCCCCGCCCCTTCTACCCTGCGCCATTACCACCACATGTACCGAAAACCAACCCTCCACATGGGGTCTCGGGAGGTGGGATTCGGGGAAATGATCAGGTCGTAGAGTGGAAGCGCACAGATGGGATTGGTGCCCTCATAAGAGAGGCCTGATGGAGTGTGTGCACACTCACAAGTGAGAAACCAGCACACACCAGACACGGAATCCACCACCTTCACGCTGAACTTCTGGCCTCCAGAGGAAGAAACCCATTTAAGTGTGGGCGCTAGCAGCTAGAGCGCAGGAGCGGGTCTGTCAGGAAGTCACCGGGGAGTGGAGGAAGGTTGTCAAACACCTGCTGTCAGTCCTGGCCTTGCAGCGGCCTGGGCCTGATCGCGCTCACTCTAGCTCTGGGCTGCACACCGCAGCTGCCCTTGCCTCAGCCACTTCCCACATAGTCCCAGAGATTAAGCAATCCTGTCTTCACTGAGCTCCCCAGGTTTCAGTGCTCAGCTTCCAAATGACCCCTGGTCCTCTTTCTCTTCTTATTTCCAGACAGGGATCATTTCTCTCTATGACTGTTCTTATAAGCACAGCCCAGGTTATAACCAGAAATTACACCGTGATGACCGAGAACACGCAAAATGCATGGGACTTCATATTAGTGAGGAGGTGAGCTAAGATAGAATCCTAATAAATTGTTAACACATCAATAGTTTGGGTATATTTGTGGATGTGTGTACACATATGCACACATGCAGGAATGAGCGTCTGCAGGCAGTATATGCACGCATGCACATGTCTGCATACGTACACGGTTACTTGTGTGTCCTTGTGTGCCCACATGCATACCACATATGTGTATATGCATGTGTGTGTGTGAGAACACACACGTTGCTCCGTGTCACTTCCTTTGCACTTTTATAGTTCCCTTCCTTCTCTGATGTCTTTTGTACATGACCTGTTCGGATCCTTTTGTTTGGGGCTGCAGAATTTGACAAGGAAAAGTAGTCCAGTTCTTTCTGACAGTTAAAGTGGATTGTCTGAGTCCCAGCTGTCACAGTTTCCCTAGGGACCCTCCAGGGACAGAACAACACATAAGGAAATTGTCTCCAAACCTAGACTGAGCAGGGCCATCAGATGGCAGCTGGCAACTGGCACAGGCCCTCAGGTGTCCCCAGAAGGCTCTGAGCAGAGGACACAGCTTCGCCACCGCTGCCGGAGGGGACTTGGGTGTGGCGTTGGGAGGTCCACCTGGGTGGGACCAGGCTGACGCGTGGGCCATCCATCCGTCCTGAGGGCAGGCGACTGACCCACGTGCCGCTCCTCCTCTCTAGGAACAGGAGAGGACGGTGGGGGTGCGGTCCTCCTCTGTCTACGGGAAGCGGATCAACAATCCAGTGGAGCCCCTGAACCGAGACCACGGCCGCGTGAACCATGTGCAGAACGACTTCTACCGGAAGAACGACATCCCCAGCATCGAAGAGCCGGGCTTTGGACACATGGACCCCGCCTGAAGGGGTCTCGGCAGCCTGTGGGGGGCGCGGCCAGCACAGAGAGGGACAGGCATCTGGCCCGCTGCCTTTTGGGTGACCTCTGTGGCCCAGCCCCTTTCTCACCGCGGTTGTTGGTTGAGAACCAAACACCTTTAACACATGGGGACATGGGGAGTGTGAGGACTTTTGAATGTGCCCCCAATTCAGATTAAATGACCCTGGAGAGGGGCTCATTGTGAGCGCCTGAATTAAAGGCACCTGGCTCCCCTCAGCGGCGGCTGCGCGGTTTTGTCCTCTTCAGGGGAAGGCGGTCAGGGCCGGGCCTGTGCGCCCGGTGTGAGGACACAGCCCAACCAAGGCATAGGATGGACGGCCCCTCGTCTGAGCTGCCAACCAGTGGCTTTGACAGGACTGAGAACGAACGTCCCAGTAAGGACGGCCTTTCACTGCTGCTCCTCAAAGGAGAAACAGCCCCAGGCCCCGGGAGAACCCTGGCTTGGGTGTTCCTCAGACGCAGGGAAAATTCTCAACTCCTGCGTTTTCTTGTTCTGTGATCAGTCATCCAATTGTTATTTTTTGAGCCTAGATTTTTCTCATCTTAATTTCCAAACCTTGACCACATTTTTGTGTGACGCAGTGAGCTAGCAGAGGCCAGGCGACCAACAAGGTCTGTATACCACCCAGCCCCAAGGAAAGGCCATCAATCTGACCACCTTCCTCCAACTGGTCTCCTGGGGATTGAACCCCAGGCCTCCTGTGTGCTAAGAACCCCCCCCACTCCCCCCCACTACCTCCCCACTCCCCAGCCCCCCCCCCCACTCCCCAGCCCTGACTGTTATTTTCAATACATTCTTTTATTCCCAGTAGCACTTTTAACCTAAGGTGGAAATGTTAACTTTGAGAAGTAATTTGAAATGCACTCAAGTCCTAGGATGCCAGCAATTGTAAATAAAGGAACCCCAAGGAGAAATCATCTCTCCTCCTCTCCTCCCGGCCCTGATGGAACTCCCCGCAGGCTCCCTCTTGACAGGCAGGTGATCTAATTAACTTCCAAGCCAGCATCCCCATCCCTCCTTTCATTGTTTGGGATCTTCTAGGAGCGTTCTCTAAAGACAGATGGTACTGAATTGCTGGCAATTTCAAGGCTGAGTGATTCCTAAATATTTATTTTTAAAATGTTTCTGTTTTCAGTGTAGGTGCTTTCCTCCCTTAAAACAGCAGTCGTTTATTTGAGGTGCTTTTAGGTGCATTATATAGCTATACTCATAGGCGATGTAGGAAGTCTGTATAAACAAATGTATTTATGCAGCCCTGTTTTCCAAGAGCATAACCTGACTGCAGTAAACTGTTAAACTAAAGTTACTTTAGGCCAGACTACAACGTTAGCCATCTGCTTATTTTTCTAGAGCAAGGATGGGGTAGATCAAGATTTCAAAAGGTCTCAAGGGAAAATTTAATCAATTGCTGTTGATATCCTGGCATTTACCGTTTAAAGCCCATAAAAGATTACCCATTAAAATAATCAAAGAGACGCAGTTCTTATATTAATCGAGTTTCTTTCACAAAACTTCAACCATTGCTCAATGATGTTTCCTGCTGCTCAGTTGAACGTAGACCAAGGAGAGCAGGTTGATTGCTGTGTTAGGGAACCAAATGTTGAGAAAGAGAAACATAAACGATTGACCAAACCCAGCCCTTGAGAAGCGATCTATTAAAGCCTGGTCTCAGGGCTGGACATGGGCGTTTTCGATGAGAGATCTTCCTATGAGGTTAGAGGTGAAGGAGAGCTTCGAGGAAGGCTTTTCACCCTGATGCCCCGGGGACAGAACACACATGGAGCTGCCTAACAAGTCCTCTGGTCTGCCATTTTGTCACGGGGATGCTGTTCGTAGCTCAGAGATCAACGAGCTTTCATCAGGAGTGACCCATTCTGGTATCAGGAGGCAGGCGGTGTTCTCTCCCAGCTTTGCCTTGTCCCACGAACCACGGTCTGGGCACATCGGCCTGTTCCTCTCTGCACATGCGTTGCATTTGTAAAATGCAAGGGATTTCACACTGGGTAGGGAATCAGAATCACCTGTGAGTCTGTTCCCTAAAACGAGGGAGTGCAGGGGCGAGGGGAGGCTTCCTGCTTCTGTGGTCCACGTTTGGGCCCCAGGACAAGCTTCCAGGCGATGACAACACTGCTGGCTGGGCTCTCACCTGGAGAGTGAGCGTCTTACGTGCCCAGAGCTTTGCCAGGTGGATGCTGACAATGAAGTCAATCATCTCCAATTCTACGGATTGGTCAGAACGGTGGTGGAGAGCTCCTTTTGGGTTCTTTTCACCACAGATCCATGTTCATCGCCTCTACGAGGACAGAATTTGAGAGAACACGGGGAAACACCAGCTGTGGTCTGCAGAGGCCGGGGACCTAACGTGACCTGGCATTTAGGATGTGAGGCCAGAGGATGTAGGAACCACCTGACGCTTCTGCTGCTCATCTTTGAGTGAGTCTGAGGGCCTCCCAGCCCAGGTTTCAGTTGGAGGGAAGAGAAATGTCCTTTTAGCAATTTTGCTTCAATCACCTTTCTGGAGTTGTGATTACAGGATCACAATTTTCCTGAGGCAGAAAATTGAAAAAGTCTGCCATATCCCCACTTTGGTAATAAAGGACTGTTCCGGCCCCGAGCCGTGTGTGCTGAGAACACCCTGGCCGGCGCAAGGCAGGACCCTGCCCAGCTCTCTACAGCCATCAACTCAGTTAATCACAACCCGATACCATGAGCTCTCAGGGAGGAAAATGCTCCTAAGAGGGATTAGAGATGGGTTCCAAGTCTCACAGCTAGTAAAAATCTGAACCGGGGTCAAACTCCAGACTTAAGTTTTATGTCTGACTTTCCATTAATGAACTTTTTGAAAGCTCATCTGGGCTCTCAGCCTGGGTCAGATGCCGGCCCTGAGGTTATTTGAGGTTTTCCTGAAACCATGTGATATGCATAATTGCTCTATGTGCACCGTTTGGCAAAGCATCATATCTTTACATTAAAAGGAAAAGCCAGGTGCTGGTGGCTCATGCCTATAATCCCAGCTACTCAGGAGGCTGAGATCTGAGGATCATGGTTCAAAGCCAGCCTGGGCAGGAAAGTCCACAAAAATATCATTTCCAATTAACCAATAGAAAGCTGAAAGTGGAGGTGTGGTTCCAGTGCTCCAGTCCCAGCCTTGAATGAATCAGATCAGGGACAGTGCCCAGGCCCTGAGTTCAAGCCCTACCAAAGAAAGAAAGAGAAAGAAGGAAAAAAGGAAAGAAGGAAAGAAAAGAAAGAAAGAAAGAGAAGGAAGGGAGAAAGAGAAGGAAGGGAGAAAGAGAAGGAAGAAAGAAGGAAGGAAGGAAGGAAGGAAGAAAAAGAAAGAGAAGGAAGGAAGGAAGAGAAAGAAAAAGAAAAGGAAGAAAGAGAAGGAAGGAAGGAAGAAGGAAAAAGAAAGGAGGAGGAAGGAAGGAAAGAAAGGGAGAGAAAGGGAGGAAGGGAAGGAAAGAAGGAAGGAAGGATGAATGGAAGGAAGGAAGAAAGAGAAGGAAGGGGGAAGGAGGGAAAAAGAAGGGGAGGGGGAAGAAGAAAACCTCAAAACTTTTGAAAATGTATGAGAGAAACTCCCAGGTCTTCTCTCTCGGCAAGCGCGTCACCATGGGCTGCGCAGCGCGTCACCATGGGCTGCGCAGCGCGTCACCGCAGCGCGTCACCATGGGCTGCGCAGCGCGTCACCATGGGCTGCGCAGCGCGTCACCATGGGCTGGGCAGCGCGTCACCGCAGCGTGTCACCATGGGCTGTGCAGCGCGTCACCGCAGCGCGTCACCATGGGCTGGGCAGCGCGTCACCGCAGCATGTCACCATGGGCTGGGCAGCGCGTCACCATGGGCTGGGCAGCGCGTCACCGCAGCGCGTCACCATGGGCTGCGCAGCACGTCACCATGGGCTGGGCAGCGCGTCACCATGGGCTGGGCAGCGCGTCACCGCAGCGTGTCACCATGGGCTGGGCAGCGCGTCACCATGGGCTGCGCAGCTCGTCACCATGGGCTGCGCAGCGTGTCACCATGGGCTGGGCAGCGCGTCACCATGGGCTGGGCAGCGCGTCACCGCAGCGCGTCACCATGGGCTGGGCAGCGCGTCACCGCAGCGCGTCACCATGGGCTGCGCAGCGTGTCACCATGGGCTGTGCAGCGTGTCACCATGGGCTGCGCAGCGCGTCACCATGGGCTGTGCAGCGCGTCACCATGGGCTGTGCAGCGCGTCACCATGGGCTGTGCAGCGCATCACCGCAGCGCGTCACCATGGGCTGCGCAGCGCGTCACCATGGGCTGCGCATGTGTTCCGTTCTCAGCACGGCGGGCAGCAGCTTCTCTCTGTTAGCTCAAATTGTTGAGCTGCCAGCCTCAAATAGCAGGCTCCAAATGGTCCTCCTGGGGTTTGGGCCTGTGCGCTTCCACAAAGCATCCCTGTCCACAAGGGCTGAGTGGACAGAAGGAGTTCTGTAGCGGGTACAGAAGTTTTACTGTTAAACTATTTTTCCCCTGAAAATATTCTCAAGAGACGGCAAAATTAAAAGCAGCCCAGGAGGCGCACTGAACGTCGCACACATGCACACATCTCCTTCCAGGGAGCAGGGTCCTAACTATCCGCAGCACAAATCGGTGCCAATTTGAATCACTCAGGACAATCTCAACCTCAGAAATAACTGTTGCCAGTGGGGAGAAGGCCAGAGCAAAGCACGGGAGACAGCAGGAAGGAGAATCGAAGCCACAGGCACTACAAACCAAAGTACATAAAACTTTTAATGAATTAACCTTACAAAAGACAAATGGCGTCAGACCATGAGACGAGTTTGGTAGAAAACGGGTTCTAGGCTGTGAGGATGACTTCTGGGGGTGGACGGCTGAGCGGCCACCGTCAGGAGGCGCAGCCCAGACAGGTGACGAGCCGCAGGGCCGGCGGGGGCCCCTGGGTGAGCACTGGCACGAGACACGAGGGTGGTGGGTGAACAGAGACTCCATGTGTGGCGACAGAACCAACTTAGTCACAAACACTGTGTGTTTAGATATCAGACTAGTGGATGCTTTTGGCGAGCTATCATATTTTCCAGAAAAGAACATGCACCCGGAGATAATATACACACCCCCCGGTTTTATTGCCTTAAGAATTTGTGTTTGCTTCACCTCGCTCCTCCTTGCCAGTTCTTTGAATGCTTTTTTTCT